ACTACTACTACTACTACTACTACTACTACTACTACTACTACTACTACTACTACTACTACTACTACTACTACTACTACTACTACTGCTACTACTACTACTACTATTACTACTACTACTACTACTAATAATAATAATAATAATTCTAGAAGACGAATAAGAATAGTAATATTATCCCAGTGCGGCCCTACCTAGGAGTTGGAGCCCCTAGGAAAGCAGCATTAGTAGTAACAATAAAGCTAAGCTAAAGCTAAGCTAAAGCTAAGCTAAAGCTAAGCTAAAGCTTAGCTAAAGCTAAGCTAAATCTAAGCTACTCCTAAGCTAATTCTAAGCTAAAGCTAAGCTAAAGCTAAGCTACATCTAAGCTACATCTAAGCTACATCTCAGATGAAGCTAAGCTAAAGCTGAGCTAAAGCTAAGCTGAAGCTAAGCTGAAGCTAAGCTAAAGCTAAGGTAAAGCTAAGGCAAAGCTAAGGCAAAGCTAAGCTAACGCTAAACTGAAGCTAAGCTACAGCTAAGCTAAAGCTAAGCTAAATCTAAGCTACAGCTAAGCTAAAGCTAAGCTACCGCTAAGCTAAAGCTAAGCTACAGCTAAGCTAAAGCTAAGCTAAATCTAAGCTAACGCTAAGCTCAAGCTAAGCTCAAGCTAAGCTCAAGCTAAGCTAAAGCTAAACTAAAGCTAAAGCTAAAGCTCCCAGGGGACTGGGGGAACCGCGGGGCGGATCCTGGGGGGAACCGCCCGGGGCAGGTTCCACTGCCCGGCCCTTTAAGCATACCGAGTAAGAACCCTTCTAGGCAGAGCCTAGGTAGGGAAAGACTGCATAAACACTAATCTAAGCCAAGCTAAGCTAAGACGAGATAAGCTAAGCCAAGCTAAGGGGGCGCTATGCTAAGCTATGCTATGCAATACTGTGCTATGTTATGCTATGCTGTGCTATGCTATGCCATGCTATGCTATGCTACGCTAAGCTAAGCTACATTAGGCTAAGCTAAGCTAGGCTAAGCTAAGCTAAGCTAAGCTAAGGTAAGCCAAGCTAAGCTAAGCTAAGCTAAGCCAAGCTAAGCTAAGCCACGCTAAGCTAAGACGAGATAAGCTAAGCCAAGCTAAGGGGGCGCGACTGGGGGAACCGCGGGGCGGGGACTGGGGGAACCGCCCGGGGCGCGTTCCACTGCCCTTTAAGCTAAGAGAGTAAGAACCCTCTAGGCAGAGCCTAGGTAGGGAAAAAATCGTAAGGGTTAGTATTCTTGGTAATAATACTACGAATAAGGATGCGACTGAGAAGACAAAACGCCATAAACAGAAACTTTTGGGCGCTCCGCGCGGATCTCGTGCGTCTGCGCTGGGGCCCCCTGGCGGGGGTCCAGCGCAGAGTGTCAAGAAATCCACGCGGACATCCAAAAGTTGATGTTGATGCCGCTTGTTCTTGCTCTAACAGGAAGGCACCGGCATGCCGCCGGCCGCGGGGCGCGCTCCGACCATACTTTTTGTCGAGGCGGCCCAGCGGTGGCGACGAGAGCCTCCCGGGAGGCCGAAAAGGGCGAAGACGAGGCAAGGGTAGTATCGGCACCTCAGCTGCGCTGCGACGCCTGTTTCGGGGGAGCGTAAGACCCGGGTTTGCCAGGACTCGGGTTCGCCATCGTTTTTTGACGACCGCGCCTCGGATTTTGACGAGCAGGAGTTTCGTGGGATGTCTGCAGCGGGAGGCCTCGTCAAAATGCAGGCTCGGCCTCGTCATTTTTTTGACGACCTCGTCGGGGATTTCCGAGTCCCCTCTACCCAGGTCTTACGTCCCCTTGACTGTTTAAAAACGCAGCACGTGCCGTGTCCAAACCGTGCGTGTCAATACGTTGCGCGTTGGCTCGGCGCGTGTTCGTCCACGTCTTGTCGAACGTATCGCGCCAGACCTACGCTTTCAGACTACTTTCGGGCTTCGTATAAACACGCTCCGTGTTGCGTGTTGCGTATCGTGACAGCCAAGACCCAGCGGTGGCGACGAGCGCCTCCAAGCAGACCGAAGAAGGCGAACACGAGGCAAGGGCAGTATCGGCACCCTCCCTGCTCTGGGGAATGGCTCGGCAGCGATCGGAATGTGCACTTTCGGGGGGCGAGGACCATCGAGGAACATCCGGGACCACCTCGCGACATACCACAAAAAAAACCGCGACACCAAAAAGCGCACGGGATGTGGACGTCCGAGCGACGGCAAGACCCTTTCCTGCTGCGGGGAACGGGGGCCTGTTGCTGCCGCGCCCGGGGCTGAGGGGGGGGGGGGGGCCGGCCTCCCCCGTGGCCCAGACGGCGCGCCCCGCCCCCGCCGCGGGGCCCTGCTGCGAGATCCGTCGGGCCCCGTCTCGGCCACGCTCCGCCGCGAGGCTCGTGCCCCTTGGGCACCGCTCGTACGTTTCCCCCCCCCTCTCCCGGGGTTGTCTTTGTAACCGCATATACATATAATTGTATACATATACATATATATATATGTATATATATATATATATCTATAGATGTATATATATAGGTATATAGGTATATAGGTATATGTGTATATATACACACTTATATGTATATATATATATATTTATAGGTGTTCTCCTCTCGGCGAGGACCACTGGGGAGCATCCTGGATCGTCTCGCGAAGAGACCGCGCGCGGCGCCGCACGCCAGAGGCGCACGGGAAGCGCCCGCCCGGGCCACGGCGAGCGCCTCCGACGGGATCCCCTCGCGCTGCGACGGCGCACGCCGCCGACGGCGAGGGGAGGAGGAGGAGGAGGAGGAGGAGGAGGAGGAGGAGGGAGGAGGAGGAGGAGGAGGAGGAGGAGGAGGGAGGGAGGGAGGGGCGCCCGAGCGACGGCGAGGGAGCGAGGCCCGGGCCCGCGGGCCGGAGCGGCGCCGCGCGGGCAGGCAGGCCCGCGCAGCCCCCCCCGGGGGGGGGGGGGGGCGCTCGAGGGCCCGCCGCCGCGGCAGCCTCTTTCGCGGGCCTGCGGAGCGCGCCGCCGCCGCTCGGGCCACCAGCGGGCTGGGCGGGCGGGGGCGTGCGCCCCGCGGCGCCCCGCGGCCACGGCCATCTCCCTCTCCGTGTGCTCTCGCGCTCCCTCTCTCGCGCTCTCTGTCGTTTCGGCTCTGCTCCAAATATGGCTGCACCTGCTTCTGTTCTTGTGTGCTCTCCCTCTCTCTCTCTCTTGGTCTTTCCCTCCCGGTCTGCCTGCCTGCCGGCCTGCCTGCACTTGCCTGCCTCTCTCTCTCTCCCTCTCTCTGCCTTTGTGCCCTCTCTGTGTGTCTGTCTGTCCGTGCCCCTCCCTCTCTCTCA